GTTGAACTTGAATTTTGCAGAATTTCAACAGCCCTTTCATCAAGTCAATTTAGTCACACAGCTTGTACAAGTACTTTTGACCTTGGGTCGATACGACCCCCCCCCCTACCTACCCCCCCCCTAACGATCCCCTCCCCCTGCGGCGTGCCGCACCCCCCTTTTACCCTGGTTACGAGATGCCTTCAAATACAGGGTGTCCCAGAAAAATGTATCAAACGTTTGATCTTCAATAACTTCCCCATATAAAAAGCTTTCGCGAATCTTTAAGTGTCATACAGTAGAGCTCGGTTCAACTTACAGTTACTGTAGGATTAGGGTAGGATTTTTCGACTAACTTTGAGTTTCTGACAGGCGAGAACTGCTTCTAAAAAATTCCAGAAAAAAACGATTGACGTTAAACGGAGCTTTTTGAGGATGCTGAATATAATTACAAAGTTTTCCGCTACCGTACTCCTCATGTTCCTACGATATCGCACTGTAATGCTAATTTTTTGGCTTTTTGTAACGTGTTCGTAAATGCAACTTTGATTTAGTAAATTTTGGAAAAAAACAAAAAAATTTAGCGTTACAATGCGCACACCGTAGGAAGATGGGGAGTACGGTAGCGGGAAACTTTGAAATCAAATTCAGCATCCCCAAAAACCTCTGTTTAACGTCCTTCGGTTTTTTGGAATTGCTTAGAAGCAGTTCTCGCCTGTCAGAAACTCAAAGTTAGTCGAAAAATCCTACCGTAATCTTACAGTAATTAAGAGAAATCGGTGATTTGCTCTATACTGTAAATCTAAGTTCAACCGAGCTCTACCATATGACACTTAAAGTTCCGCCAAAGCTTTCTATATAGGGAAGTTATTGAAGATCAAACGTTCGATACATTTTTTTGGGACACCCTGTATAACGCCACCTTACCACAAATGTTTAGCGTGTACAACTTACTAAAAAGATAAGTGCCCTGCATTCTGTACTTCTAGAATAAGTTTTGATCAAAATTTATATCGACTGCTTTTTTAGATCGTCCAATAATGGGTGCTGATTATGGATAAAAATTTATTTTATCGATTTTATCGATTTCTGGAGAAGTTTGAGCTGCGGGGCTGGAAGTTGGTACAGGGGGGGGGGGGTAAGTGAGAGCGCTGATTATGAATAAAGATTTACTTTATCGATTTTGTCGATTTTTGGAAAATCTCGAGCTACGAGATTGGAAGTTGGTACAGGGGGGTAAATGAGGATGCTGGTTAAAACTGAAGTCTATTTTATCGATTTCAGCGAGTTTTGGAAAATTTTGAGCTAGGAGTTGGTATAGGGGATACAAGGGTACTGATTATGAATGGATCGGCTTTAGCCAGATATGTCGGCAAGTTTGAGACATGGTTGCTCTAGTTATTCGATAAATCATTCGAATATTTATTCGAAATTCGACTTCCAATGTTCGAATATATTCGATATTCATTCATTCGATATTTTTGATTTTCCGAATTTATTCGGAATTCATTCATTCGAGAATTTTTGAACCTCGAATTTATTCGATATTCGTTTATTCGAGATTTTTTATTTTCGAATTTATTCGTTATTCGTTTATTCGAAATTTTTCGGTTTCGAATTTATTCGATATTCATTCATTCGATGAAAAATTTTCGATTTACCCAAGTATAATAGCGACTACTACGATTCATGCATCGAGAACTACTCTCACGAATAGTCCCACTGCGCGGAGCAGTACATCTGCCTTGGTTACGACGACTGCTAAGAGCACCAATGCAACAAAGCCCGTAACCACGACAAAACCACCAGGTTGGTGCATTTACAAGACTTGGATTAAATTATTTTTACCCCCTCCCCCCGTTTGTAATGCATCAGAGTGCGCTTTTGTCATAGATTTAAGTCGAAAATGAAATTCGAAAATCACTTTCCGTCTAACGATTATGAATTCAACACCTAATCCACACTAAACACTTAGTCAATGACTGAGAATTCGTGCTTGATTACGTTCCATAACAGCATATCAGTTAAGACTTTATAGGATTAACAAGCTATTATACTACTAAAACTTCTTCTAAATCCAAAAAAGTTGAGGCCGTTTCTTCGCAATTCTTCATGATTTGTTGCCGCTAACCGTTATAATTACAACAGGAATGATATCCACGAAAGTCCATAATGGAGGAAAGTGGACTTTCAAGCCCCATTTTATTCGTTCGCGGTGAAGAGTGGTCGAAATCTGCCTTCGCTCGCGTTATCCAAAAATTTTTATCCGATCGCAACCACGAGGCAAAGCGATGTGATGAGAATGATTCAACCTTACTTGAGCTCTCGCTTGCGAAAGAATCAGCGAAAAGTCCATTTAGAATGGGGCAAAATGGGATTTACCTCCATTTTAAATGGACTTGAAAGCCCATTTTACTCCCAGCAGCAAGGTGAGCTGGGACTAAGCCCATTTTTGACCTTTTGGCATAGTTCTGATAGCGATTTTTGTATATAAACGTATAAACGCTGTAAAACTCATATAAACGCTGTAAAACTCATGGGAGGAGGTAAAATTCTCCAAAATATAGCGGCCGTCATCGATTTTCTTCGATAGTGGCTGCTGTCAAATATTGCTCGATGCGCAAAAATTCGCCACTGTCCATCGCCTAACAACGGTTGTGCGGGCTGGGTACCAGTCACATACCTGTTCGACCAAACCTGCACAAGAGGTGTAGGTGTTTCCTCTTTGATAGCGCGCAAGATTTTTATGCCTGAAAAGCGATCTGCATCTAGATCAATAGCTCGCGGGATGCTAGACCGAGGCGCCATATGATCAACTCGGTTTCGTCTCAGGGCAAATCCCATGAACGGGGTTTACTACGGGCCATTGTGTGTTTTCCTCTTTGTATTCCTCTTCAGCAACTATAGAAAAGTTCTCCAGGATCATATCCAGTCGTAAGAAGTAAGAGACTAATAACACATCTACGTATATTCTACTCTTACTTTTTCTTGATCTCTAATAGTAAATAAACCTTAATACAATTGTCCATGAATACTTAGTGATGCCGCTGCTGATTCTAAGAAATAATATTTTGTCAATTATAATAAAAATCGTCTGCTAACTTAGCTTTAGCATTTTTCAAGTGCACCTGGCAATAAGCTAAGCTCTACACTGCAAACAAATCGAGCGTATTTTGCACAACGTATGGCTGTTCCAAGTGAAATAATTTCGTCTACGTCGACACTGCGCATGGAAGAGGACCATAACATTGCTCAATTCTCACAAGATCATAATATGTGTCAGCAAACAAACAACAAACTTTTACATGACGAAAGTTTTGCATAAATATAAAAATGAAATCTAAACCTCCAAAATTCTAGACCTTCATTTTGTGATAGTCGGAGATTTGTGCGCTACGAAAAATGTTAAAGCCTGAAATTCTACGATTTAGCCACAAGGACAAAGCTCTCAAGAGGAGCTTTTCGAATTTTGCGCTTCTGTTGGTTGAGAAGGAAACACAACATCGTTTCATTGAAACATTAGACTGATACCCTCTTTTCTCGTGAATCTATGAAAAAAAAAAGACAGCGCGATAAAGACAATCCTATAAAATATTCCTTTTAGCCAAATTTTCTGTTCCATTTCTATGCGAGATGAGATCAGGGCACGGCACAGGTGGCTTAGCAAGCAAGCTGGATATCGTTTTTAGGGAAAAAGCAAAGGGGATATCGTTTTTGCGGAAGAACATAACGTTGTCTTTCGATTTGCGGCCGGCACGCTGCCGGCATGCCGCCGGCAAATAAACAAAGGGTTTGTTTACAGCGAATTGAAGATGAAATGACACCAAAAAAGGTGTGTAGATGGGCAATGGGGAGTTAGGACCAAGTATGAAAAATTATGAAAAAATTATGTGAACTAAATGCGTGCTCAACTTTTTTCGGAGTTAGGTGGCTTTCAAGCCACCTGGATAGCCACCTGAGGTGGCTTAGGAAAGAAAAAGTCATAAATTTTTCCTCACGCACATAATTTTTCTACTTTCTTTACATACTTTTCATCTACCTCCCAAACCCTACAAACCCCCCTCTCCCCGCTTAGTTATAGCCCCTTGAAAATTTTGAATGGCGGCGGAAAGGCTGCTCTAGGCGCGTAATGCTGCACGATGGATACATTACGCCGCCAATCCAGAGAATATGAATATCATCGCGTGTGTTCGATGATTCTTTTTCGTTTTTTCTTTCTTTTGTGGCTTTGTTCCGTTCCTTTTCATGTATTTACTCTTCGAATATCTCGTGGCGGATGTCGTAATTCCATTGAAGACAATGAAACTTCATTTTTTGCAATTTCGGGACGCCAGCTCGTGCTGACCCATGGTCTAGGGTCAAAGGGGACTTCGTAAAAATTCGCAAAAGTCAAGGGGGACTTCGTTTTTTGCATTTTAAACTAGCCACCTCGTGCCGAGCCCTGGATGAGATCCTACCACACATTCCATGAACAATTGCTGGCAGGTATTTTTTTTTTCAGATTTTTTGGGGCTCGATTCTGGACCTAACCTCGGAATCGTAACCTTTGAAAGGCCATATTTGAAAGCTTTGTTTTCGGCAGGCTCGTAGAATCACTATTTGACATATATATGGAGCGCGAAAATTCTCCTATTTTTGGGAAAAAATCATAAATTCGAGTTGATTTGAAAATGATCGAACTTTGTTTAAATTGGGCAACTGCTTTCGTTCCAACCTAATACTTCTACTGTGTCTAATAAAAATAAAAAGACATCTTATCCCGATTTCTCGCCGAAATTTGCTTGAATGAAAACGCACCAACGGCTGTAGGTATAGCATCCTCGACAGAAGTCATGTCATTATACTGTCACTTGTCCTTTTAAATAGAATTGTTATCAAATGCAACCAGTAGGAATATTTACTTTATAGTACCTCGTAGCTGCTAATTTGCTTTAGTTAGTACTGATTCATGATTTGTATTATATTCCATGGTATACCTTCTTTGAAGTATTTGTATGTAGCAAGCTTCAGGTTCAATTGATATGCACTGTGCCTTCTCAGCGGACTTGGAAAATTCAGAGGAACCCAATTTCGTGAGCTAGACATGGCAAGCTATAGCATACACAGCAGTGTCGCTAGCTAGTCATTTAAGATACAGGGCTGCTTATTGAACATGTCTTTCGTTCTATCCAAAATGACCTACAAATAAAATCTTTTTTCAGCAGAAGAAGCTAATCAAGGATCTTGGTAAGAAAGTTATCAATGCCAGTCTAACCTCAAGTGCAGGCCTTTGGACTTACGGTAATGTGAATCAAGCGAAGAAGTTTGGGGACGTTTTCGATGATATGGTATCTAATTTCTCCAGTTTCGCTTTAAAAGCAGAAGATCTTTTTTGTTTTGGTGAGGAACGCTCTCCTCCCGGTGGTGAAAAGTGCGTTTCTGAGATTTTTTAATTGCAAAATGATCGAAATTATAGTTAGATTTATTTTTTAGTACATTACAGCCTCATTGACCACATCAACCAAGCAGGCGACAAATACAATGTCGCAAACTGTCTACTATTTTTAACGGGCAGGTGGGCTAAAAAGTGCACTTCGATATAAGGGCTTGGTCATAGGAATTATCGTATTAGGCTTCTTGAGTACATGTATTTAGGTTTTAGTATGGACGCGCAAGCAAATGCAGATGTTTGAAATTTGTAGATTCGAAAAACTTACCTGTTATTACAATCTAAAAGAGCATTCCTTTACAGTGTTTACGACATCTTGGACTTGGTAGAGGGGGTGAGACTAGAGTTTTTGTTTTCTCTTCATGCAAAAAAAAGAAGATCACATGAGCATTTCTTGTAGTGATAACCTGAAGAAGGGAGACTTATGAAAAATCGCACATAAATTCATCAGCGTATTTTTACAAATACATCAGATTTTCAAAGCTGAAGGAAAGTTCTTTCATAATCAATATTTCTGAATCAACCACTTTTCTTTTTTTGCATAGTCCTAATTCTGGATGTTTGATGTTTGATAAAAGGGTGGACATTTATAATATGAATGTGTACTGTGTGCATAGCTGTCACTACCTCAAACCTAAAGCTGCTGAAAACGTACATCGCAGTTACTTTTTGTTCATCCAAGTTTTGCAGCAAGGAGGAGAAGCCGGGCTGGAAAATCGACCCCATTTATGATTACAACAGGATTGTGATCATCAGCTTGCAAGGTAAGCAGAGATCCGGTATAACTGCCTCGTTGATATGGAACATGTTAAGGGCGGGAGAATTATTTGGTTCAGATAGTCTAGTTCTGTAGATGTGACGCATGACTTCTCGTGCAGGGCACCTACATGTCTATAAGTTCGGTTCACAATGTGCGATAGGTTTTGCTTTCTTGTGAATATTCTTAAGTAAACGTGAGTCTGAATTGATAGAAAAGGAAGAATAAGGGAATATAAAGCGCTCTTTCTTCTACCAAAACAGTTCGATGGTTACCAATTTTTAGCCACGACAGCTAAGAAAGCATCCAGTACGCTTCACCACTACTCTCTTCTTTTTTCTAGCAGCCAAACTCATCACTAAGATGAAAAAAAATTGCGTGTTATAATTGTCAAGCTAAATGGCTCGGCAAAACTGGTCTCAGACATTCGCAGTTATACAAATGCTGACAAGGGTAGCTTTCGCCTAATCATCGCTATAAACATCCCTTATTTTACCGCTTTTTATGTTGGATAATGAGAGTTCAACAAAAAGGTTCTTAAACTGGCAAGAGTTCTTTTTGGAACAGCTGGTTTATCAGGTGTGAGAAATGCATAACAATTTCAGGTGTCAACTTTACCAACAACGTTGATACCGAAAGAGGAGTTTCCCTCAATGTAGACCTTTATCATTTCAATGAGTCTGACATCCAAGCTGTATACGATGATATCGTGAGGGGCTTCAAGAGTAATTGAACCTACATGTACTTGGAATACATTGCATATCAGCATCTCCAAAATCTATAACCCTTTTGTACTTCGAGACTGTTACAATTATTGTTTCAAAACTTGTGATGCTACTCCGTATTGAGCATCGTTTTGATAACTGGAGCTTTCACTGTTCACTCTTCAAAAGCTATTAGTCACAGAATAGGCTTCATACTTGAGACAACTGTATTCCTTATATTTTCCAGCATCTTACTTTTGATTATTTATCTCTACTACCTATGCATCTGGTGCTTGAAATAAGACACCTATACGATACGCGTATTTGTGTCTCATTATTGAAATTGAAGATTCGTCATATAATCAGAGTATAAAACGTTCTAATTCACTTCTGTTTCCAGATTGCCTCGTTGATTAGAAAAACTTGACATAGAAAAAAAGTTTGCCTACCACTCAAGCACAGTTTTCGAGTTTCACGCTGCCTGATTTCAATTTGATGGAATTTTTTTTGGTAAACTTTTGAATGAGAAAAGAAAGACGAAAAAGGAAATTTGAACGCGCGAAAGCGTTATTGTTTCTTCCAACAAATCCAATGATTACCAAATTTTGAGCTAAGTCAACCAAAAAATTTCGCGCATTTCACTGTTTCGTCATTTTCTAGCGGTTAAGTCAGAGCAGGTGTTACTATTGCTAAGGTAAAAGCAAAAATTTGCACTGCATTATTATTGCCCTCATAAAAGACAGTGCCTAAGCAAAAATGGCTCTTGTCAGGCTCTTCTGGTAGGGGCTGTTGTTAGTTCTTAAACAAGTGGGGGGGAGTGTAGACATGGAGCTGTTGCGTACTTGGAAGGTCTACTGCTTATCAGCATTAAAATTGGCAAGGACATCTTAATCATTCTTTCTTGACATTTCTTATTCTACCTTTTTTTACTTTGATTTTTGAGTAATCAGCAAAAATGTTAAATTAGAAAAAGGTGTGCCAGTATGCCAAGAAATCACAACAACGCTTTTATATTTCATATTGCTAAATTGTCACAACTTATCTTAACGCCTATAATTTGCTACACCATATTGCATTGTTTTAAGGAGTTTATAAGGTTTAATTCTCTTTCTAATTCAAACAATTTGAAGAATTTGATTTCTTATAGCAATCGTTTTACTAATCGTTCTTCAACGTCTGTCTGTTAGCTATTTATGTGCCCACCTGGTGTGAAATAAGCAGACCTATACGATTCTCTACTACTAAAGGCTGAAAACCGCGACTCACTAAATGTATAAAAGGCTCCAATCTAGGTTTTTATTTACTGCATATTTATATAATTCCTGTGATTTTGGACTCAATGTTGTGATAGGCAACTGCATGGACAATACTCATTATGGCATTTCGAAAATTCTTTGCTTATCGCTTGAGCTGACAAATTTTCAGTTTTCGTTTCCTTTGCCTTGTTCGACCATCAGATTTCAACCTGTGTTCTCAAAGTTTTCAAATAGGCCTTGTCAGAGACAAAAGAGAGAAAAAAGGCACTATATAAATCTTGTGTAAACAAAGCTTATGCAATAAGTTCAATTTTCTATTGTGCCAAACAGGTTTGATAAGTGGTTTTTAATTCTTTCCAATCACGGCCTTACGTTTCGACGCCTTTCGTCTTCCTCAGAGGCCTAAGTGTTATCCGTAACTCCAGACCACCAAGCGTCTCCTCCCGCTCTGCTAGTTCTCGGCCTTCTCACAATCTCGGTACCAAATAAAATGTCAGTGTAGCAGGACATACCGGAAGACCACCGCTACTCGAGTAGTCTGCACCGGAAATAAGCGGTCGCGGCAGACGAGTGAATCGTACTGTAGATACCCAAAGATGATCTACAGTCACAGATCACATAATGATACGAACGGGAGGAAGTCAGAAGTTATTGATAAACACTCGTTCTTATTATTCATCTCTGGATTCTTCGTAGTGATCCAGAATGCTTCTAGTGCTTTCCTAGACGAGATCTCCGTTTCATACGCAAGAATTCTACACTTGATGTTAAAGTCTTCTCCACCGTGCCGTGCGTCCCTATGCCTGCCAAGCGGCGAGCTCAGATTTTTGCGCCTTTTATCGGCTAGATGTTCTTTTATGCGAATACCCAAAACTCTGCCCGTCTCTCCTATAAATAACGCTTTGCAGTTGAGGCACTCAATTTAATAAACGACTCCCACTTTTGCACAATCCCCCACTCTACCGTGCGGGCATTTACGCATTGCTCTGTCGTACAATATTGGTCGTAGAGCCTATTTCGGACTAGCTGCTTTTTGATGTTGTTGTTGGGGATGTTGACTAGAACAAATCATTTTGTAGCTGAGCTCGAAAAATGCACTGTTGAAACGCCGCGGCAATCTTGTCAGAGATGAAGGGAAGGCAGAGTGGGAGTTTACTGTTACTATGAATGCTGTTACCATTTCTAGATAGTCGAGGACACGGTAAGTTATGGTAACCATTACAGCAAGCAATCTGGGAGGCCAACTTTCGAGATTCGCAACGTTCTTGCTCTCCGGAACACATCCGCATAGCTGTATTGAACATGTTTCTGATGAATCCGCGTTTTACAGATGCAGGATGCGCGGACTTGACGTTTACCAAGATGTTCTTAGAGCTTTCCTTGCGGTACCGTTTTACTCTAACAATGCCATCGGATAACTTCACCTGTGCGTTGAGATATGGCAGCCAACCGTCGCGTGGCTTTTCGCGCGTGAATTTGATGTACTGCGATTGCTGGTTCAGGATCTTAAAACACTCATCCATTTCGGATTGTGTTGATGTTATGACACAGCAATCGTCGATGTAACGGCAGTACATCAAAGGCGTACGTGCCAACACCGGTTCTTCAACTTTACTCATGAAACATATAGCGAGAACTGGTGCTAGTCTTTGGCCCATAGCTAGTCCGCATATCTGGGAATAGTATGTCCCAGACCATCTGAAGATGTTACATTTCAGGCACTCGCTAATTAGGGCCATTGTTCGTACTTTGCCAAGTCCGTACATGTTTATGGTACCAGCGTACGTATCCAACATTTCCGATAACGCTTGTAAAGCTTGACTGTTCTGCACATTTGTATAGAGTGATGTTACATCGAATGACTCTATAACAGCGCTCGTGTCAAGCTTGGCGTTGTGAAGATTTTCGATAAATCTCTGGGAGTTGGGTAAGTGCGCTGGGACCCTACACAATAACTGGCTCACAATTTTGTTCAAAAAAAAACCATGAAATTCTATCGGCTGGACCGCCAACGCAACTGATTATAGGTCTTATTTGGTAAGTATCCGTTGACATTGAAGTCATGTCCCGCAAGGAAAGCTTATGCGTCTTAATGAGGCTGTAGAAGACGGGACAGCTTGAATTGGTGATCTTTAACCTGTTGATAAATCTGTCTTGAAGCCCTGCAGACTTCCCTATCGTAGTCCAAGCGTCATTAAGTCTCCTACACTGAGCATGATATTCTTTCTCATCAACTACTCTATAAGTCGCGGCGTCTGCGAGGTGAGCTGCCATTATACGGCGATCCAGTTCCTGTGGTATTACTACAAATTCTCCAACTTTATCGCTTACAGATAAGCGCACGGAATCATTCGATATGAGGTCACGTATCTCTCTAAAACCTTGCCACTGTTCAGGTGACAAATTGTTCTGGTATTGTCGTTTTGACTTAGTCAGCACTTTTAATATACCAGAAGACAAGAGGCGGAATTTCACGTCTACACTCAAAACTGGCTCTGGCTGTTTATAGAAAGATGGAGGAAATGGAATCGCTGGTAACTGGCTTGACTCTTGAGTAACTTTATTACCTTCGCATCGCGCCCTTATTCTGAGAGTGTCTCTGAGCTTGTGCAGGCTGCCTACTATCTTGCGACATGTTATAGCGTTGATGTTTTGTGCAGGGGAGAAGGAGGGACCCAGGCTAAGAAGCTTCATGACATTAGATGATACGTGAGTGTTACCAATAACTGTGACTCTCACCGGCTCTTCATTGCAAGATGACGAATGATCTGAGCAGTGGTTCCTTCTGTCACTTCTAACATCTAAGCATTTTCTATGGCATTCGATGGAAAGTCGGTCGTACTTTGCAAGAAGTTTGGATTTGACCCTAGATCGAATCGAACTACAGATTAGCTTAGAACCATCCTCGATCCTCCTCCAACTTTCACAAGGCAAGAGACGTTTACATGCCTGTTCTTTTGCACAACATTTCAACAAGGTACTATACAATGACCTCTGCTTTTCTCTAATGATAACATTCAAAATGATCATGACTTATAATAAGCGGTTTAATCTGAAGTTGTGTGGAGTTTGTCCGTTACGAAATTACAGTGAGGAATGATTTACGATACTAAACATCATGTGAGGTTAAGAAGCGAGTATGGTTCATTTTTAACTACGGCTTACATTGCAATAAACCGAAAAATGATTTGAGAGACAAGCTCTCAGAAAGTGAGTTTACCACGGTTCACTATGCCAGTGCGAACCTCTGCGAAGCAGAGATGAAGCACTGGTGTGATATATCTTTCTTATCTTCGAGTCATTTTCGTCAAGGCCACAGGTGTATCCCAATTTCTTTTCCTTGATGAAAGTCGGGATGACGTTCGATCTCTTGCACCGTTGGAGGAAATTCAAGAATTGGCGCGCCACTATCACTTTTTGTCGAAGTGACAGTGCTTCACTTGCCAAACGGAACACTTTCGGCGGTATGTTTTCTAGTAACTTCCAAGCGTTTTCATGAAACCTTGGCATTTGTCGTAAGTCAGATCACATAATGATACGAACGGGAGGAAGTCAGAAGTTATTGATGTTAGCAAAGCGAAGCAATTAGCGAAAATAATTATTGCATATTAGCTTATGCAATAATTATTTTCGCTCTTCCCAGCTGCGTTCCAGGAATCTTTAGTATGACTTTTTTCAAAACCCTTGATTTCAGTGATACACAATGAAAACCAAGAAAACTTCTGGATTCAAGGTTTAAGGATCACTATTGGCACACCGCTCTGCCTACTGAA